CACCCCCCTCCACTCCAGCCATGCTGTGGGGGGGGATTCCTCATGACCCACCGCTGGGGAGGCCCAGAATCCCATCTGGGCAAGGGAGGGTCCCATGGGCTCCCCAGCCAGATTTCAGCCTTGGCCAAGCCACAGGTTCAATAAACCTCTCTATCTGCCACTCTCTCCAAATCTCTGCTCCCCTCTTACCTACAGCACAGCCAAACAAAAACTGGTCCACTTCGCAAGACCGATGTGCCGCACCCATCAAGGGCCCTTAGTCTGCTCCTCCCCTGCAAGGGGTACTGATTCTGCAAAGCACACAGCCTCGGTCTTGCCAAGAGGGCCGGTATGGGGAGGAGGGGGTAGGTTGTGGTTGAGAGAGAGCAGCCTGAGTGAAGGGCGCCATGTAAACCCTGAAGCACGCAGTGGAGATCAGCGGGTGTGACCGCTAGCATCCCCCACACTTACGCCGTGCTTCTGAAGGAGGGGGGGGAATTAAGAAGCTATGTTCGCCCCATACACACGCAGGGAGCAGACTCCTATCACATCAGGCCTTCCGTCCATCTATCACTAACTTCTGTCCTTCTCCACCACTCCTAGCGTTGGCTTTTTTTCAGGTTTCAGAGACAAGATGCGTCTCAGCCATGCCCAGAAGCGTCGGGGGGGGGGAGAGAATCCAGGCCCATCCAGGATTTATTTGACCACGGTGGTACAGTCCTCCCCCCTGCATCAGAAAACAGGACACCACAAACGGATCGGCAACGTCCACTCGAGGTGGAGAGCTTTCAAACTGTCGCTGGCAGAAATAGGTTTGCCCGTCCCCTTCCGGTACGGCTCCACCGAGAAGGGGCTGCCGGGGACCAGCCGTTCCTCTGCCTCCCTTCCCAAACAGACTCGGCGTTCCTTAAAGCCAAGCTGCCCCGTAGACAAGGAGGCTTGCTCAGCCGGCATCCAGAACCGCCTTCCACCAGACAAAGGATCGGCCGGCTGCAAAAAACATCTCCGCCACCCTACAGCCTGGGCTGTCAACCCACTCCTCTACCATGTGGTACGGCCCTGGTCCCAGAGCCTGGACCATCTCCTCCACACACCACCTTCCTGCTGACCGCCTCCGTTCTCAAGGACCTTCAACAAGAGACACGGCCAACAAACTGCAACAAGCCATCATCCCACTAAGGAACTGCAGGTCATTCATTTCCAGCCGTTTGCTGAACCCCTGGAGAGCCACCGCCCAGCTGGGCAGAGAATGTCCTGAGGCTGATGGATTAAAAGTTGGACCTCATCTATAAAATCCTCCTCCCTCTACGGATTTACAGCCTGCTTTCCAGCTAAGAGTTCCTAGCTGCCAACGTATGAAATAACGGTAAATATAAGAATTCAAAAGCAACGGAAATAAAGGCCCACTGTAGCGGATCACGTCACGGACTAGGACGCTGGAGAACAGGGTTCAAATCCTTGCTCAGTGTCATGGAAATTAATGGTGGGGTGGGGAGGGGGGAGTACTAGTAAAAACATTCCTTCGCTATTTCTTTTAGCTTGAAAACACTATTAAGGTTGCTGTAAGTCGATTTCAATTTGACGGCACAGAACACACACACACACACACCACAGCTGTGGGTTTTCCCTGAAAACGGGGCATTTTTTGGGGGGGGAGAGACATGGCCCGAATCAGGCTGTGGAAAAGTTAACTTTTCAGGAAGCAACTCCCAGAAGCTCCCAGGAAGCCCGGACGGGGGCTGTCACCCCAAATCTGTTTACGTGCCCTTGCGGGGGCTAGGTAGCATCCCCCAAATCGCGCCACAGGCCGGGAGACGGGGTGAGTCTCTAAACCGCCCTACCTGAGCACCTGCGGAGTGTTAAAATTCGGCCGGGCTTCGGCGTTGCCATCCTCGTCCTCCGGCCCCTCGTCTTCCACGTTGGAGAAGCCCATCTCGTCCTGAAACTGAGCAGAGGACAGACGCTTGAGTTGCGCCGGCATCTGGAGGGCTGAGAGATTTTAGGCGCGAAGGGGACCGCAGAGAGCCTTACCGTCTCAAAAAGCTCCTCCATCAGTTCGTTCACTTCCTTCTCTGGAAGATAAGAAACAAACGCCGTTCTGTGCCGTAACAGATTTCAAGCCCACCCGATTGTTATTTAACCCGCTCAAAGAAAAGAGGCAAGGCTCCTCCTTGTAGAAATTATCACAGATTTCACTTAATCAATAATCTAATTATTGAGCAGCTGATTCTTTCCCGAAAAAAAAAAAGAACAGCTATGGGCATCATTCAGATGAAAGCACCGGGACCTAGGTGCAATATTTGGTCTAAATTTTTACAGTCATGTTTCCCAAAAACTTGGGTCCCCGGCTTTTAATGGGTCCCATCATCACGTCTGTTGCTAGAAATTCTAAACCCAACTCTTCCAGCAGGCTTTTAACCATCATAACAGAGTCACTGCATCCTGTTTTTTAAGTTGTATTTTTAAAGTTTTACATGTTTTGAGTCCCCCAGTGTATTTATAACTGCCATTGTAGTTTAATTTGCTTTTAATGTCTCATTTATGGTGCTTTTAATTCTGCTCTTCCGTTTTTAACGCAGCGAGCCACTCTGAGCCCCTTTATCAGGAGAAATAAGGGAGACGTACTCGTGATCCGAACGGCACGGTCATTTCTGAAGTCCTCTGTGTCCGGTTCATCGAGATCCTCCAGGAAGTTGTATTCGGGGTCATCGTCATCATCCGCCTCATCTGGAAGGTAAAACACTTCTTAACTGAGACAAGAAGGCGGAGGCATTTACATCTCTTACCCTTCTGAACAATCAATTTTATTAGATTTTGGAAGCTAAGCAGAGTCCGGCCAAATTAGTCCTCGGTGAGAAACCGCCAGGAGGTGCGACGTGTTCACAGATTCTGCTTCCAATGCACATCACGAGGTGCGAACAGAAGCAAACAGTCACACATATCAAAAAAATTGTTATTAATTAAATCTTTGTGAAGCCAAACAGACAAACTAAGGTCAGAAATCAGCCATTTCAGAGAGATCCGTTTTGACAAAATACAGATCAAGGCCTTTTAAATGTTGGTCTGCTTTCTTCCAGACACACGGACCTTTACAATTTGTTCCATTATACGGCCCCATTTTGTGATGCCACGCTTGTAGAACTGATCATCTTCTGTTAAACGATAATCAGATTTTCTCAATGTGGAAAACTTTCCGGTTGCCCTTTGGTGGCCAGTGTTGTGTACATCCACCTCCTCCAACACAACGCCGTCTTTTGTCCTCTTGAGAATCCCAACTTCCATTTAAAAACAAAACTACGGGCGCGTGAAGAGGGGCTCGAATGCATGAGGGCAAAGTGTGGCGAGAGCTCAAAAGCCAGGCCTCCGCCGATTTCGAAGCCCACCTCCGTGTGGCTGCCTTTGCCCAAGCAGAGAGGGGGGGAAAAATCACAGCATCATTCACGCGGCTGCATTTTGAGATCTTTCAAAAACAAAGCTGGAGAAACTATGGGGCCCTCCAGATTCTGGCACTACAACTCCCATGGTGCTCTGCCACGGACTGTCCCGGCTGAGATTTCCGAGAATGGATGGCCAGAGGATCTCTGGAGGGTTCTGACCCACCAAAGAGGGCGTCTCGCTGGCTCAGCAACCTCCTCCAGTGGGAAAGAATGCTGGGTGCTGTAGTCCAAAAAAAAAAAGAGTAACTTCCCCAAAGCCTCCTCCTTCAAACCAGAAGTCCCAGCCCACGCCCCCAGCCCCACCCTGGCAAAAAAAGGACATGCCTTCGTTCCCCACGTCATCATTCATGAGACCGCTAAGCCACCGTTTCCACTCTTCGTCGTCCGCCGTGTTGGGGTCGTACATGTCCGGGGTGATGTCTGGAGCCCGGAGCTCGGCCTCCAGCTGGCCGAGAGGGACGTCCTTCAGCGGCCGCTTGGAGCGCGTGCGGAGGGCGATCAAGCTGTCCTCCAGGGGCTGGAGAGGCAGAAGGAAGGAGGGGTTTGGCACATGGGGTGGAGCTTAAAAGATACACCCACACAAACACACCCATAGAAGAGAGGGTTTATGTACGCACTGCTTTCGGCATCTACAAGGGGGCTTGGAACCGAAGCCCTGCCGATAAAATAGTCTCTGTGGCCAGTTCTGGTCAATACGCTTTGGAAGCCTGTACTTTCTCGGTTTTTTTCCCTTTCACATTTTCAGACAAGGGAGAAGTGAAACCACAGGGATTGATCCCGCAGCCCTAGTGTATATGAAATAAAGGCCGGATGATCTTAGAGGGGAAGTCACAGGGACGGACGGCCCACGGACGTAGTACACCAAGATTGTGCCTCTATTCCAAGATGCTCACGGGCTCGCATATGTGCAGGTTTCCCCTGTGGCCTCTTCACGACAACCCTGCCAGGTAGTCCAGTTCAGGAGGTAGCCACTGGACCCGTGCCACCTCGCAAGACCCTTTGCTACCGATCCACTTTTTCAGGCTGCTGGGGGGAGGGGGGGAGCCTGTGGTTCACGGAAGATTAGGCCAAATAATCCCCAAGCTGGTCTTTATGCTCTTTTCCCCAACGGAAGACAGCAAATTCAGGGGCCACAGGGTTACCTGGAAGGACTCCATGCACACGGGGCTGGAGGCCAGCTCTTCGTCCACCGCGTGCAGCTTCTCCATGAAGGTGCTGTCTTTGCTCTGCTTCGGTTTAGGGGGTGGGGGCGGCCCCATGGGCACAACCTCGGCACTGATGTGACGCTGCAGGGGCGGCGTAGCGGCTTTCTCGGCCTGAGGGAGAGAAGAGGGGGAGAGAAAGCTCAGATTTGCCCGTCGGATTTCTGCTGTTTTTCTGCGGTTCAGAGCTGGCAGGATCGCAGAGAGAGAAAGAGAGAGGAAGGGCAGGGGGAGAGAGGACACAGAGACCGAAAAAAGTCTCAGAATCCTACCATCTTGAAACTGAGCCCATTTTTGGCCCTAAAGCAGGGAGAGACGAAGGGTTTTTAAACCCTGCCAACTTTAGATACCCTGAAAACGTCTCCAGCAAACGGAAGGTCAGGCTTCCAGCCCTCCCAACTTTGAAGCCAGCTAAAGCTCCTCCATAGCTTTTAACACACCGAATAATCGTTTTCTTTTTCCAAACTGGAATCGGGACGCCAAGCCATTTCCTGGCCTTTCCCCCCTGGCCTGCACGGGGTCCCTTGAAAGGAACATGGGCTCCCTGACGTGTCTCACGGATGCCCCTCTGCCCTGGGATCACCTCAAATGGTGCCACTCACTTCCAAGGGGGTGGCAGCCTCCTCGTCCGTCTCGATCACATCCGACGACCGCCCCGACCGAGACCGCTTGCCCCCCCGGGGCGACGAGGCAGTGCTTTCCACGTCACTCTCCATCAAGCTCTGTGAAAAGACGAGAAGCATCAGGACATTAATTAGCTACCCAGATCCCCAAGGGCGCACTCTCTCGGCAGCCCGAGGGGGAGCTGAGAGGGAAGGCAGATGTCAGAAAAGGCCTGTAAGTGCCCTTCCTGAGAGGCTTAGAGGGCCAGAGGAATTGCCTTCTGAACATCGCACAATGATCCAGTGCCACCAGAGAGAACGAAAAGCAGAGCCTTCTCGGTGGTGGCCCCCACTACCTGGACTTAAAAAAAAAGGCGCAAAGGTTTCGGTTGTGCGGCGTACAGCCTCCAGCCGGCCTCGCAAGGATTAAAACAGGCCCCAGACTAGCTATATTGCCAGTCCCTGGCGGGAGTCCCCAAGAACCAGAATTTAGGCGTCAAAATCTGGCCCCGAGACAATACCTCTTCTGCCGTCTCATCCTCTTCTTCTTCCTCCGGCTGGTACTCTTCGTCGGAAGAATCATCCTCCTCGAGGGGTATGTCCACAAACTGAGGAGGCTACGGGCCGGAAACAGAAGGCGTGAGAGGAGAAAAAGAGAGCAGGAAGGCAAGGGGGGGGGAGCCCACCCGAAAAACCACATTTTTTTCCTTGTCACTGGTGAACGTAACAGAACACTGAAATTTTTGGGGCCTGTAGGAACAGCAAGTTTGTCATCAGCACCTCAACATAATTTTATCTTCATTTCTCTAGGTGTAAAATCTCAGAGGAAAAGATACCAGGGATCTGACCTCAAGCGCACCGTTTCAGAAGACATGGCAGAATCCAAAGACTCGTGGTTTTCAAAACCAAGGACATTCCTGGTTCTCGTGACTTGTGTGTATGCATGGGAGGAGGAATACGAGAGTCCTCAACAAAGATGCTTCCTTTTTCCACCTCCGAATCCTCGACCCACAAATACACAAGCGGCACATTAAATAAATGTTCATTCTGATGTAACGCCCAATATATATTATAGCCACAGCATTCAGAAATGAAGAGTACAGAAATCTGAGTACAAGCTTCTCAATCTAGAGACCAGAAGGGGTCGGGCAGGGCATGTAAGTCCAGCGCTGTGATAACCAAGTGTTTTTGAACAATGCTGAAATTTAGATACAGCTTGAAAAGCCACGGCTGAGAATGAGTGACTAAAACTTCGATGAAAACAGCAACATACCCTTGTCGGTCCCAAACAACTCAGCCAGCTGGGGGTGGAGGGTATTTCAAGGCGGTGAGAATACCCCCAGCAGCCCAACATATGACCCAGAAAGCCCGAAGCAGCTTGGGTCCAAGCTATCTTAAGGCCCACATCCCCTCAGATTTTAAGATCCTCGGGGAGGCCTTGCTCTCGGTCCCAAAACCTTCACAGGTGCCCTTGGGTAGGGACACGGGAGAGGGCCTTCTCGGTGGCTGCTCCCAGACTCTGGAACTCCCTGCCACTGGAAACCAGGCTGGCCCCCATCTTGGCTCTCCTTCTGCAAGCAGGCCAACACCTTCCTCTTCATACAAGCTTTCCCTCAGGGACTGAGCTGGCCAAGTGAGGTTTTTAAATGATGGTTATGCCTTACTGCTCTGAATGTGTTTTGGTGTTGCATATTTTTTTTAGTATGTTATTTGTTTGATTCTTTTTAGCATTTGTTGTTTAAATGCTGTCTTTTAATGATGCAAGCCTCCTTTGGTCCTTTTTTAAGGAGAAAGGCAGGGTAAAAATATTAAAATATAAGCAAATAACCAACCTTGAGTTCATTGGCCTTCTTGATGGGAGAAATATTCCAGGTGGGAATTACCTGAGGAAAAAAAATAACCACAATTCAGCTTCTTGGTCATCAAGGCCAACACAAGGAAGCGCGAGAGTTTCTCTCACTCGTTCTGCTTCGCAGTTCCTTTATTTGTGATTTTTCCTTCCATAGAGAAGTTCCACTTTCCTCAAATACATTTCAGAAGGGGGGAAAATATTTGAAAAATACAAAAAAAGGAAACACATGTGTATAACAGCTTCCCTAGAAGGACCCTTTCTGAAAGAAGGAATAAGTTAGGTTTTTGAATCAGCAACGAACACTGCATGGGGTCAATTTTGACGCCATCTCTGAGAGATAAATTGGTTTGTTTGGGGAGGGGGGGGCTACCTTTTGAGGGTCCCGGATCCAAGGTCTACCAAAGTCACGCACCCTCATCCTCAATGAACAAGGAAGTGTCTCAAAGTTGCCCAGTACCAGTACAAAACAATTGCAGGACACATGATAATGGGCTCGAGCAACAGGAAGCCAGATTTCGGCTGAATAATCAGGAAAGACTTCTTAACTGTTAGAGCAGTATGATGATGGAACCCATGGCCTCAGGAGGGGGTGAGCGCTCCAGCGCCGGAGGCATCCATGAGAAAATCAGGCCACCCTCTGTCCGATCTGCTTTGACTTGAGCAAGGGGGGGGTTGGACTTCATAGCCTCACAAGCCCATTCCAACACAATTATTGTATGAAAATTCCCGCCTACTCACCACGCCTTTCTCCACCACTTCCTTCAGCTTCGAGCGAGTCATTTTGGGCTCCTAAGCAGGTGGAGGGGAGGGAAAGAGGGAAAAGAACAAGAAGAGGGAGAGAAAGAGAGAAAGAAAAATGCTCTTTATTCCGTTATAAACAACAACACAAACGCTGACCCGACCCGTCTAGGCAATTTTTTTCCTCCACCTCGTGCGCCCCCCCCGCCACCAGGAAGGGAGCAACCTTCCCTGCTGAGGGAAGAACTTACAAACATGGGGATGTCCTCGGTCTCGCTGATGGCGGCTTTCATCATGGCCACGACGTGCTCGTTTGTGATCACCTCCTGCGGCAAGAGACACAGAAATAAATCCTTTCACCTGGCGTCGTTCTGACATGGGAAGAGGCCGGCCCTGAACAGCAACGTAACTCGGACCGAGTCGGGGGGGGCGCCGTGGTGGGAAAAGAGACTTCCTCAAACAAGGTTGAAATACTTGATCTCTCTAGCAAAATTCTACCCACTCTGACCGGCAGCAGCTCCAGGGACTCCAGGCAGAGAAAGATCTTCCTACCGTAATTACTTTACAATGTATAATATTATATATTGTAATACAGTGGTGCCTCGCTTGACGATTGCCTCGTTAAACGACGAAACCACTATATGATTACTGTTTTGTAATATATGCCAAGTTTTCGCTAGACAACATTTTTAAAACAGCTGATCAGCTGCTTCAAAATGGCCGCCCACACGCCCACTGTGTAAAATGGCTCGCCGCTGCGTTTTTGGACGGATTCCTCGCTTTACAGGGACCAAAAATGGCCGCCCCTATGGAGGATCTTCCCTGGACGGTGAGTTATTCAGCCCACTGGAACACACTGAACGGGTTTTCAATGCGTTTCAATGGGATTTTTTATTTCGCTTCACGAGGATTTCACTCTACAGCAATTTCGCTGGAACGGATTATCCTCGTTAAGCGAGGCACCACTGTATTGAGCTGGAAGGGACCCTATGGATCATCGAGTCCAGCTCTTGTGAAAGAGGCTGAGTGAGGGAATCAAACTCCCAACCTCTGGTTCTGCAGCCAGGGACCTCAGCAACATTCCCCCCCACACAAGATCTTTTCACCTGGAGACACCAGGGACCCAATGCTCCCAACCTCTGGTTCTGCAACCAGGGACATTCCACCCCCCACAAGATCTTTTCACCTGGAGAAATCAGGGACCCAATCTGGAACCCTCTCTCCTCAAAACAAGATCTGAGGGGTGTACATCCTCCACGCATATAGTAAGATTCTAGTCCTCATCGTTCTGAAGGATGAGGATGATGACGGGGACCATGATGATTCACCCACCAGATGACACCGACCTCTGGCAGCGTTCTCGGACATTTCTAGCTATAAAGCCACCAGGCCTACGGCCGATGGTTCCCGTCTAAGCCGGACTCCCGCAATACGCTGTTGAATTTCCAAATCCTAGAAGCCTTTGTGACCAAGGGCAGGGGATTTTGGGAGCTACAAGCTGACTACCGCGGAGGACGCACCGCCTAAAGACAAACGACGGGCACAGCGGAGAAGGGAGTTTCTTTCTGGGCCATCAGGGAACGATGATGGTCCAAGACCAGCAGGCTGGCAATGATTTTTTTTTTAGGGTTCTCCTTGCCACAATATTTAGGTAGATGCGCCAAAGGGGCCATCCATCTAAAAGACCTTGGTTTTCTTCTCCGGAAACCACCACCACCACCTCCCGGCCTTCAACTCACGTGGAGGATGTTCCGCACGTTGACGGCGGTCAGGTTGTGCTGCTTCGCGCCGTCTTCCAAAGTCCGGTCCAGCGTGTCGTCCAGTTTGAGGTCGCAAGCCAAGGGCCCTTCCTCCCCTCCCTCGGGACCCTTGCCCTCTCGCTTCCGCTTCACTGCTTTCCTCTTCTTCCGCTTCCCTCCTTCCTCCTGCTCTTCTGGGAACGCAGAAACAAAACGGGCGCCCTCAAAACGGAGAAGTCGGTCAACGCTGGGTCCGCTGACCGACTTTAGAGGACCAAAAAAAGAATCGGGGGATAATTTAAACTCCTCAGAGACAGGATGCAGCACTCAGTGGCAACCTTCCCTCTAGAGAGTCTAGAGTCCTGCTTCCCTCCTTCCTCCTGCTCTTCTGGGAACGCAGAAACAAAACGGGCGCCCTCAAAATGGAGGACCAAAAAAAGAATCTGGGGATAATTTAAACTCCTCGGAGTCAGGGTGAAGCACTCAGTGGCAACCTTCCCCCTGGAGAGTCTAAAGGTTAACTAGAGAGTCCTGCGTCCAGTTCTGGACCCCGCACTTCAAGAAGGATGCTGACGAACAGGAGACAGTTCGGAGGAGGGCGGCCAGGAGGATCCGGGGCCTGGAAACCAAGCCCTCGGAGGAAAGATGGAAAGAACTGGGGTATGTTTAGCCTTGAGGACAGAAGATGGAGGGGAGACAGGATCGTACTGTTCAGATACCTGAAAGGTAGTCAGACAGAAGAGGGGGCAGGATCTGTTCCCCATCACCCCCGAGGGAAGGACACGTCATCATGGGCTCAAGCGACAGAAAGCCAGTTTTCAGCTGAATATGAGGAAAAACCGGAGCAAACGCCCGCCCCCATGCAAGAGGTCCCTGGGCTAGAAAGGGCTTCCCATGAACCGAACCAGCAGCTTGTGAGCCTGAATGGGGAAACCCCCCATGGGCCGGATCCAGACTCAGGAGCCGAAGCGCCCTTTCCCATACCGTACACAGAATAAGCAGGAAGGGGCCAGAGCTTCGGACTTTTCCACTACCAAGAAGGGGAAACACGGCTGAGCTCCTTCCAGGGGGGTTGTGTCTGGTCTCCGTTTCACGTTACACTTTGTAGAGGCGATTAAACACTCACCCACTGGGATAAACCATCCCGTCTCCTCTGCTTCCTCTTTCGCTTCCTGGGGCAACTCAGCGCTCTGCCCGGCCTTTGGCGCCCTCCCACCGGGGCGACCCTCTCCTGCCTCCCAATCAGCCTCGGGTTTCGGCAAGACGTCGCCAGCTAGAAGCAAAAGAAGAAAAAATCTTTAAAACCGGCATAATAACGGCATCTTCCAGAATGCTGTTTGGGTGGGGGCGGGCAATCCTAATTTTTAAATTAGATTCTCGCAGAACGGTCGGGTGCTAAAGAGCAGCGATCGCTGGGCATCCGTCAAAGCCCGGCACTCGGCAAGGGAGCCGATGCTGAGCGTCAGGAACTTGAGACCCGGATTCCTCTTTGCTGTTCACCTGCCCTCTCTGAGCGATGGCAAAACGGTAGCAGCTCGCCCCACACCTTTGGACGGAGTCCAGAAGGAACTGAGAAGTATAGGGGTCGCACGGCAGGGTTTGGGGGTCAGAGAAGAAGCAGGTGAGGCCCCGGATTGACTTACACATGGATAGCAAACAAATTTATTTTATTTATTTACCATCTACTTTATTTTTAGGCCAACTTTCTCCGGATCAAGGGCCCCAAGGCGGCTTCCCATATCGAAAAGGATTAAAAGCATAACAAGTTAAACATTAAAACGGCAATTAAACGATAGGCTAATCAAAAGACAAGTGAATCATTCCAAAGGAAGTAAACGTTAAAAACGGTTTGAACTTTTAAAAGGCATGATTGTTAAAAGTCTGGCTAAAAAAGTGGGTCTCCAGCTGTCGGCGGAAGGACAGGACAATGGCCAGCCTGACCTCAGGAGAGAGAGCCTTCCGTAACGTGGGAGCTGACACAGAGAAGGCCCTCTCCTGTGTCCCCCATCAGCTATGACTGCACCGGCAATGGGGCCAAGAGGAAGGCCTCCTCTGAATGATCTTAAACTCCATGAAGGTTTATATAGGGAGATACGGGAGATTTAGGGTATGATTGCACCCATCGGCTCCCTTCCAAGTATGGCCTCAAACTGGATCATGAAATTTTTGGCTTACTTTTTCATTTAAATACCATGAAGGATGATGGACAAGCTGTTGTTCAGGTGCGTTTTCCAGTCTCAAGATCCCCCGATGTTGTTGGCCCACAACTCTCATGATCCCCGATCGCCACTAGGCTGGCTGGGGATGATAGACCTTGTAATCCGACACCTGAAAAGCTGAGATAAGGAACCAAAGCCACTTCTCCCTCCCCACTTCTTCCCACAGGTGCACCTGCCCCTGGCTTACCTTTCCAGTCTAGTTTCTCTTCCTTCTTATCCACAGGGAACTCTGAGGATGGAGAACTCTTGCAGTCTTGACGGTCTTCCGGAGCCTGGGAGCAGAGATCTGCCCCTTCTTTAAGGAAGAGCTTCACATTTCTCAAAGAGGGCTCCGATCCTTCCAAGCAGCCCTTCTGGGAAGTCTCTCCCGACAGAACAACAGCCTGCACCGCTGTTTCATCCTCAAATGAAGACTGGTCTCCTGCAGGAGCAGGGGACAAACAGGGGAGGCTTCCGGCGGGAGGACTAGGCAGGCCCTTCCTATCGCTCAAAATGGTATCTTCCTGCCCTTCCTTGTGTGGCCCGGAGCTGCCGAGCGGGCTAGTCCCACCTGAGAGGGAAGCCTCCATTTGAACGGACTGGACGTCGGAAGGGAGACCCAGCTCCTCCTTCTCGGGGTCCGTCAGCGTCGCTCTTCTCTTCTTACATGGCAGCATCTCTGGAGAGAGGAATATCTCAACTAAAGCTCTCCGGCCATTGCTCTGCAAAGATAAAAAGAGTTTGACGTTCTAGACTGCTGCGACACACTGTGTGTGGGGCTGCCCTGGAAGACTGTTCAGATAGATTCCGATGGTTCGGAACACGGCCCTTCATTTATTAAGAGGATGGGCTGGTCTAATGATATTCTGCCTGTATTAAAACCAACTTTTGCACATCTTGTTCTCATGAAACAGGATCATTATTATCTGGAGAAAAAAAGCAGCAGGTCCCACCAATACAGAAGCATTTCTCAGTTCTTAGATGGCTTCTCTGTAGGGCCACTGTGGGCATCCGTTATCTAGACCAGATAACAGCCATTTGTATGCCAAACACACTTAAGCCTCTGTTTTTTTCCAGCACCCCTACTACAGTATTATTGTTCGTGGACGAAACAAAGCTGTCTGGATCATATGTATCAATTAACGTGGCTTACTTGATGATCTTGGACAAATGTCATGCCATTTACAAATCTTTGTAAACACATGTGTACTTCTAAATTGGCAGAACAGAAATAAATAAGATTTTGGATGAGAAGAAGCTGAATTTAAACTCTTTGACCGAAACAATAAGGAATATAGCTTTCTTTCTTTTTTTCTTTCTCTCTGCTTCTGTCTCGTGGAAGGCATGAAAAGGTAAAGAAAACTAGCCGTTATATATTGCTAGCCTTCTTCCAGGTAGGTACCCTTAGCCCTTCTGGCTAGCATGATGGGAATTGTTATCTAACGTATACAAAGGGTTAGGGAAAGCCAATCTGCTGGCTATATTGGCTGGGAATGATGGGAGCCAGCGCTCTATACCCTTCGGAGTTTCCTATGTAGGAGAAAGTGGATGTAGAGCCGGCACCGGCAAGGGTTATGGGAGCTGTAGTCCTACATGCCTGTGGAGTACCAAGCCGGAGGAGGCGCCTCTGTCGGCCGTATGGCTGGGGATGATGGGAGCTCATGTTCTGACATACCTGAGGGGAGGAGGGGAGAAGCCAAGTTGGGGAAGGCCTGGCGGTTGGCGTCCTGGCTTGGATGATGGGAGTTGTAATCCAACAAGCCTCTGGAGCACCAAACTGGAGGAGGCCCCACTGTGGCTGAGGGTGAGGAGGAGGGTTCTAGTCCTGGCAGGGGCAGGGGAATGCTCCTCGGCGTCCTGGCTGGGGATGGTGGGAGTTGTAGTCCACCTCTACATAAAGGGCACCAAATTGGGGGAGGCTGCTAATTAGAGTCATTTAAAGACACACACATACCCCAGCACCAGTTCGCCCCCCCCTCACACACACACACACCCTCCAAGCCCAGCGTCCCACGGCCCGGCCCGGCCTCACATTCCCGCCTTCGCCCCGCACCGGCTTCGCCGCCTTGCCATTTTCCAATCCGGTGCACTCCCCCCTCCCGCCGCTCCCTGCAACCGGAAACGGAAGTGAAGCCACGGGGGAAGAGAGACAGTAGCCAGGGGCGGAAACATAAGAGGCGGAGGCGGAGTCCGCCATTTTTGTAGCTGGAACAAGGCCGGGCAACGGCCGCCATCTTGGCGGAAGGCGTAGGGCTTGGAACCTTCGGGCGGGAGGAGGCGGGCACGTGACTTTGGGCGGGAGGGGGAGGAGGAGGCGTCACGTGGCCTCGAAGTGCGTTTTTTTTGTATGACGTCACCTGGTGGAACCTTCCCCCCCTCCCGGAAGTTTTTTTTTAGATGTCTGATAATTGTATTTATAAGGGTGGCTTCTTACAGGCTTTGTGATAACTATTTTATACAGTCCAACTGCATGACAATATTATATAATCGAATAATCAATAGCACCGTTATGTATTACAAAAAAAATTACAATATGTACGTCCCGCCTATCTGGACTAATCAATAGCACCATTATGTATTGCAAAGAAATATATTACAACATGTATGTATTACAATATGTATGTATATAATTATATAAACACACATATAATTGTGTAACATGTACACACACACAGAGTGTATGTATATAATTATATAAACACACATAATTATGTAACATGTACACACACACACACACACACACACACACACACACACACACTGTAAGCACAGCCGAAGCTACATTTTTTTGCTTAAAGGCTTTGTGTTTGACGGTCACTCTTACAAATGTACAAACATACAGTATATATAAACATATGTATATAAATATGTACATAGGTGTACATTTCCCTCTTCAGTGGGGAAGATTAAGGTTCTTCCAGAATTAATCATAATTTGACCCTTAAATCTGGCAAATATTAAACCAACCACATCTTCAGCCTGCCCTGAAGTCATCTGAGGCAGAGGTTTCCATATAGATTTTATACATTGCATGTGCACACACACACACACACACACACCAATGAAGTTACAATATTTGAGGCAATGAAACAAGGAATATATATTCATTGTTTCAATTAATGTATTTTCACACACACCTTTATATATAGTTATTTGAGGCAATGAAGTTACAATATTTGAGGCAATGAAACAAGGAATATATATTCATTGTTTCAATTAATGTATTTTCACACACACTGTTTCAAGATAAATGAAAACATTGCACAAATATTCATAAATAATTTGAAAATAAATCCTAAACAAGGAATAGATATACTGTATGTGGCTCAGACAAGAAACAAGGAATATATATTCATTGTTTCAAAATATATATATATGTGTGGCTCAGACAAATCTATTCATTGTTTAGGATTTATTTTCAAATTATTTATGAATATTTGTGCAATGTTTTCATTTATCTTGAAACAGTATCGAGAAACAGTAGCGCTCAACTGAGATGAGAGAGATCAACAGGTTCTTGAGGATTTTTGTCAAACCCATTGGCTGAAGAACCTGAGGCGCTTGTTGGTGAAGCAGAACATCCTCATTTAAACCTCCTGCTTCCAAAGTTGGGACTGGCCACGATGAGGTCCAGCCTCCAGCACTGGGGGCATTAGAAAGGGAAGATCAACATCTGTAAAAGCCTGTTTATTACCGAAACAATGGAATACCACCAGGGCAACAATTACTAGAATAAAATCCATTTAAGGCAGCAAGAGGGAGACTGGGAAAAACCAGCCTGTTTTATCTGCTTCCCAGGCACTCATAGACTTCTTATGGCTTGACTTCGCATTTCTCTCCCTCTGACTTCGGATGCAGCAGCTTAGAACAGCGTCCTCACATCGCATCCAAACCAACCCCTTCATTTTTTCAGCTAATAAATCCTTCCCGGCCTGGCCCTCTTTTCCCCCCATTTATTTTTACCTCGAATGATCAGATGTAACAACCCATGCCTTTCGTTTCTATTTGATTCCGATTTTCCGTTCAGGTCATTGTCCTGGGGGGCCACTGGCTCTTATTTTACGCCGGTTTTCATTCTTGTGTATTTATTATTTAGCGCCGCATGTTCTATCTGTTGTCGGAAAACCACCCAGAATAATGCTTCGCACTCATGGGGCAGTATCTAAATCAAAGAAATAAAATTAATAAATACATTTAACATGTTTTACAATTACTTGATTTTTATTAATTCATGTGAACAAAGTGTGAAAAGCACCCCAAACAACAGAATTCCACCAGTCAGTGGCTGAAATCCAGTAGTAACTTGCCCCTCGATTTACTAAGTACGTTCCACTCATTCAAATGGGCCTACTCCAGTGGAAGCTCACTATCGCACTTCAGGCCATGTTTTCTAGAGGTGAGCTTGCTGACGTAACAAAGGTATAAAGGGGAAAGTACCAAAGCAATGCAGGAAGACCAGTCATCCAGTAATGATCAGTAATTGAGAGGATTCGTTTGCCAGCTGCCTTTCCTTGGCCAAATTCAGTGTGACTGTTCTAAGTACATTCCAAATTGTTTTCCGTAAAAAGCAAGCCCGTTGGCTGTTTCAGCTGCCGGAATACTTGATCAGGTGCCAGATCACACCGAGCCTCACCCGAGAGTGGATGACTTACAGTGCATTTTAATTATGAGGCTTCATTTTTTTCTTTTCCCAGGGACAAAATTGCCCAAAGCTTAAAGAGAAAGCATGACTCACTTTGCACTTTTTAAATATTGTGCAAGGAATGATCGAAGAAGCTAGGATGCTGACAGGAAATCAGATGGGAGCCCAGGTAAACAGGGACAAATGAGTCAAAGAATGAAATCAAGAATTTCTGCAGGGGTGAAGCGAGAGATGTAAACTTTCTGAAAATTCCCATTTTTTTCTGGAAAAAGGAAAAAATTACATCCCTACTGAAGAGTTTTCACTACATATCCATTTTTTTCCAGGAAACAAAAAACAACCCCCTTTTCCCCTGTTTTTTTTTTCCAGAAAAAAATGTTTTTTTCTTGGGAAATTTTACATCTTTCTAAATTTTACATTTAGGTACGAATTGTCAGATGGAAAAGGTGGCTCATACCTTTGAAAATGTTCTAATGGCCCTAACAGGTCACAGGAGTGAGTCAACCACTGGGATACAGAGGCAAAAAAAAAAAAGGATGATGGAATTCAAGGCGACATCAACAAATGTTACAAAGTCCAGATTTTCTCTGTGACTCTGATTTGTTGTTGGTCATATCTCATGAGAAATTCTGTGCCCATTTCTGAACCGAGGAAGGAGGATCTTGAAAAGCTAAAATGTTGTCCAGAGGTGAACACCTGAGATAACCAAGAAAGTTTCGAAGCCCAGGTCAGTGAGAAGCCATAAATTAGGGAGCTGGGTTTATTTTTCTTGGACAAGAGAAAGCTGTGAGGCCAGACGAAAGCCATCTGCACTTATTTGAATTTGCTTTGCATGGATTAGAAGGTGAGGCAGCCTTGTTTTCTGGGGGCCTGGAGCCCAGGAAGATTTGGATCAAACACTAGAAAGAAGCTTCTGGACAAGAAGAACAGTTTGACAGTGGAATGGATTCCTTTCCAAGGCAAGCATCCTAGGTAAAAGCAAAATAAAAAACCAAAATTAAACAGATTAAAAAAGACAAAAAAACTTGGTGGCTTCTGAAAGACCTGCTGTTCTATTTATTTTTACTGTGAGCTTTTGTGAACAAGTCCACTTCGTCAGAGAGAAGAATAAGAGATCTCATTTTGCAAATATTTATATATAGCATCAAAATATACATATCAAAACGCAGAGATTGTGGTTGGTTGATTGCTAAAAAAGTCTGTGGATATTTAACACGATGAAGGCAATTGGTTTTCCTTCGCTAACAGAAGTTAGATCGCCATTTGGTAAGGATGCACTAGATATGAGTGGCCTTCCTTTCCCCCCATCCCACCCCCCACATCACTTGGGGAGCCATTTGGACTATACGATCCCTAGACTCCCTTGCTACCACGCTATGATTTTATAATTTCCATAGTCACCTGGATTTCTGTTAAATTTAACATGATGATGCATTTGATATTAACAAAGGCATGGAAATGGTCACTCTCAGATCGCGGTGTTTGCTGGGGTAAATCAAAATCCAGAAATGCTTCTCTCGAAAATGTCAACAAAACACACATTGAAACAAAACGTATTGTGACATTTTCACGGCTGTTTTTCAATGCCGGCATACTTATTTTTTGGTTGATGTAATAAAGCTGTCACGGCAGTATAGTTTTTGGAATCTGGGGTACTAGAAACTGCCCCTGGAATAAATCAAGGCCGGAAATTCAGGTAAATTGCACTAGAGTAGGACCATTGAATCAGTGGGAATTTGGTAAGTCAATTCTAACTTTTTTTAAGAGGCTATAAGATTTCTCGTTTTTATGATACATGCTGAAATGAATCTCGGTCGTCTTTAAAATGCCACTGTAATAAATACAAGCTTTTGGTTTTATTTTATTGCTGTTATATATGTCCTGGAACAGGCAAATTATGCTACCTCTTAATTTTACATGTGCTATTAAATATTGACAGCCAGTGTGGCGTAACGCCTACAGCGACAGGCAAGGACTCGGGTGCGTTCGGTTCCCTACTTAACTGTGAAAACTCACTGAGGAGTGTCAGTGATAAAACCACCCTTTAAATGTACCTCACATGTCTTGAAAAGCATATTAGGGTCCCCAGAAATCAGACATTGTATAAAAGTTGCTTTGGTTTGCTGTTTGTTTGTTTTTTAAGTGTAGTATCTGTTTGATCCTTGTTAGCATTTGTATACTTGCTATTTTTCGCTTCTAATATTGTCTTTTAGTGATGGGTCCTTCTTAGGAAGAAAAGTGGGATAAAAACATTTTAAATGAAGAAATAAACAATATAATATATTGCAGTCTCCTGGACTGCAAAGAGAACAAACCTATCCGTTCTGAAGGAAATCAACCCTGAGTGCTCACTGGAAGGACAGATCCTGAAGCTGAGGCTCCAATCCTTTGGCCATCTCATGAGAAGAGAAGACTCCCTGGAAAAGACCCTGATGTTGGGAAAGTGTGAAGGCAAGAGGAGAAGGGGACAACAGAGGATGAGATGGCTGGACAGGGTCACTGAAGCAACCAACATGAACCTGACACAACTCCGGGAGGCCGTGGAAGAGAGGAGGGCCTGGTGTGCTGTGGTCCATGGGGTCATGAAGAATCAGACACAACTAAACAACGAAACGAAACGAAACGAAACGAAAATAATATAATATAATATAATATAATATAATATAATATAATATAATATAATATAATATAATATAATATAATATAATGAAATAAACTGCAGAGCTGGAAGGGGCCCTTCATCAAGTCTAGCCCTTCTCAAGGAGACCCGGCGGGGAATCAAACTCCCAACTTCTGGCTCTGCAGATAAATAACAGCAGTTATAAATATCGCTCTCCTTGGAATATGGCAATGCCTTGGAAATCCGTGCAGATCTCATATTGCAAGCCATGAAAGCATCGGAATCCCTAAAAATTATGGTGGTTAACCATCGCCCAGCCTGGTTCTTTGTGGGGGGGGGAGAATGCATCTCACACTCTTTCTCTCTGAGATACCCACACCCTTGTCTGTGTGCCATTCTACCTGCCTCCCTCTCTGCACACACACACACACACACAGACAGTGCCCTCACCCCCTCCCCCTGCCACGATCCACCCTGCCGAGTCACCGCCGGGGCTGGCTTGGAGGGGGGGGGAAGGAGAGCCGAGGAGGCGTGGCTTCCAGGCCGGGCGGGGGCGGAGTCTTGTCCGGGGATCGTTCGAAAGGGGCGGAGCCAGCGCCGCATCAGGACCACAGGCGCCGCCGCTCGCCTGCATCCCCGGCCGAGTCCTCGCGGAGCATCCTCGGGGCCGAGAAGCGAAAGGAGCCACCGCAGGCCTCTCCCGGAGGGCATCATCATCATCCTCGGGCCGCCATGGCGGAGATCGCCAGCCTCCACCCCAGTTTTGGTGAGTGTGGGGCCCGGGGAGGGAGAAGCTCCTGCGCAACGCCAGCCTTCGCTCCTCCGCCTTTTCTGCGGCCGCCTTGGCTTCCCCTCCCCGGCCTCTGACCGCCTTTTCCAACCCGGTGCCCCCCCAAAATGGGCCCTGCCAGCTCCCTCCCCCTCCTGAGCCCTGGCCCCCCAAAGACGGATCAGGCCCTGCCCGACGATGCTGTCGAGGTTTCCTTGGCAGGGCCAGGGCCTGCATCCTTTCTGGATTGCGGGGGCCACATCCTGACGTCAAACAGCCCCTTGCAAGGAGGCCTTCTGGGGGGGGCATCGTCACGCAACCCGCCGCTGGCTTGGCTTCCAGCTTGTGCACCGCCACGGAAAACACGCCACTCTGCCAGCCAGAAACACAGTCCATCAGGGGCACCACGGGGGCCACCGACAACCCCACCACCCCAAATCAATCCACGGGGAGAATCTCTCTCCTCTCCCTCCCTTCCAGATCAGGGTGCCCAAATGGTTCCCGTAGCTCCAGAAGCAAAGAGAGGAGCGGGCATGACAGCCACCTCTTCCCCCCCCACCTGACAGCATCTGCCAAGGAAAACATATTTTGATAGCCGGCTGCTAGGCGTGTTTACTAAGTATAATTGCGTTCAGTGGTGCTTTTACACACACACACACACACACTCAAACACACACACACACACACAGAAGACACCTGGGCCAGCATCACTTAATTTCCCCTCTTTTCATGCAAAATATATATACTGTATATTTAAATCACCAGGTCTTTAGGCAAAGTGGACATCTTAACATCAGCCGCCCGCCCTAGCAACCCATCACTCTGGACCACTGCCGCCCCCCCCCCACCGGCTCTTCCTTCTCCCATGGTTCCCCCCCCACTCATCCCCGACCCCTCCCCTCCTTGTGTGCGCGCGCGGGTGTGCCGGGCCTTGCTGGGCGAGTGCCAGAGACGGGGAGAGATCATCTCGAGATGAGAGAGAGAGGCAGAGAGGGAGGCGGTGCCCTTCGGCCCCTGACTTCCCCCTCCACTGACACTCCCCTCTGGGGGGCTGGGGGGGGGAAGGAGGGAGCAGGTGTGGACCAGTGGCTTGGAGAAGGGGGGGTTGGGAATGACGTGATGTCTGTCCTCGGCCAGCCAGCGCCCCCCAGCTCCCATCCAGCTCGCTAGGATGAGAGAAAAGCCTTTTGTCTGGTTCCCCCCCTCCCCATTTTTTTGGCATGGGTTGGAAAACACAGAGAGTGGGTCCATGCACCCCGCATGGACCAGTGGGGTGCATGAAACCTGGCTGTGAACATCTCACATCCCCCAGCTGAGAGCACCACGTACCGTGGTCCGGGGGGGTCTCCTTGACCAAGGATCCCACCTGGTTTGATGGATTTCCCCCAGCTCCCTTTCCCTGGGGCCCTCTCTCCGGGAGAAGTTAGGAGCCTCCTGCTTGCGCCCGTGTTCAGACGATGCTCCCGGATTCACGCACGCCTTCTTTCCGCCGTGCTCGGCCACCCACTCCAAACCGGAGCGGTACAAATCCGGAGCTGCCAGCAGGCCCGTCGCGATGGCATCTAAGCAACTGGCCTCTCTCGGCCAAGCTGCAGCTGAATTGCTCGTCTAGAAAACCGTGGAAGAAAACAATAAATAAAGTGGATTTCCTCCCCCCTCCACCACTCTCCAAATACGCCGAAATATAGAGAGCTGAGGTTTCCTCTCATGTCTTATAGGCCTTCAAGTAGCACGTGCCTTGTCCAAATGTAGCACAGCGCACAAACGGGGAAGAGTGTATTTATGTTTACAGGTTCATCAAAGCTTTTTGGATTTATTTACACGTTTATGTATTTATATATACCAAAGTGGAATTGTTTGTTTGCAGCCGTCTGGGGCAGATGTTGTTTTTCGGAGGCTGCCCGAAAGCCATAGGCAACTTCCCTCCCTGGTTAAGTCGCATAAATGACATTATGCGTGCGTTTAATTCCGGATTTGAATTCATTCCGGACAGAAACGGTACTACAACTGGGTGTGTGCTTTGCACACACACACACACACACCCTGGTTCATCAGGCCCAAAACGTGGAGAGATGCAAGG